ACAAGCGTGCAGCTTTCATCATACTCCCTTTCCACAAACAACGAAGCCTCGCTGGTGAAATGGAGGATGTTAACCCTGAAATTCGGGCTGTCAACGAGGGTGTGCTCGCTAATGCTCCTTGTTCTGTGGGAATCCTCATCGATCGTGGCCTTGCTGAGACAAGTGACTACGCAAAAAATATCGTTGTCCTTTACTTCGGAGGTCCTGATGATAGGGAAGCTCTGGCTTACGCGTTGAGAATGGTTGATCGTCCAGATACACGCCTAACTGTGGTTAAGTTTATACCAGGAGAAGGTGCTACAGATATAGAACCAATGGAATTTGCTGAAGAAAGTCATGTAAACGTCCACATTGACAAAGAGAGCGAAAAGTTGCTAGATGAAGAGTTCTTGAACAGGTTCAAGATCAGCACAGCCAATGACAAATCAGTAAAATACATAGAATTGTTGCTGAATGATGTAGAAGAAGCCGTCAAGGCAATAAAACTAATGGACCAGCATAACTATGATCTCTACATCGTAGGAAAAGGTCGAGGCATAGTGTCACCACTAACAGCTGGTCTAGTCGATTGGTGTGACTGCCCTGAGCTCGGGGCTATTGGTGATCTTTTAGTGACATCCGAATTCGATTCCACATTCTCTGTGCTGGTGATGCAGCAGTATGTTAAACCAATTGGAGATGGTTCGGTAAATTCTTATGGATCGATGAGTGAGCGGATAGGACTCGGGATGGACATGGACATGGACATGCAACACGCAGATAGTGAAGCTGGGGACGTGTTTTCCAGTTTTAGGAGGCGGCCGGAACATATGCCACGAGTCTAAAATGCAAAGTCTTAGCTTAGGCTGATGACAAAATGGGGTGGAATTGGAATTGGTTGAGACTTCAGATACAAAAGTTCCTGCAAGAATCAATGATATATTGGCTTTCATCTGACAAAAATTGAAGTGGGGTTGAATGATGAGGCTTGCTTTGTAATTGTAGTAAAAATGTAACTTTGAAATTTTTAAAACTTGAATATCTGACATTTTATGCCAATGTAAAATGTGTTGAGGCAAAGTGAACCATAGTGAAAGACAGCAAATTGATTCCAGGCAGGAGCTTTACTCCTTTAGTTTTCTTTATTTAACCAACTATATACCATATTCCAAACTTGTTAGCGTCGATTATATGAATCATTTTTATTCATCATCAGTAATAAATAATTTTTCTTCTAAGGAAAATTAGGTGCTCCCTAAACTAAATTCTCTAAATCTCACACTTATTCCTGCAAGGACGTGCAACTGTCCAACCAGAGTAACGGTAGACTTATAGCCTGTTTGGCCAAGCTTTTTTTTGGGCCAAAAGTGTTTTTTTGGGCCAAAAGCACTTTTGACAAAAAATTGAGGTGTTTGGCCAAGCTTTTGGAAGGAAAAAAAATGCTTTTGATGAGAAGCAGAAGCAGTTTTGGAGAAGCAGAAAAAAGTAGTTTCCCTCCAAAAGCACTTTTCTGATAAGCACTTTTGAGAAAAATACACTTAGAAGCAGTTTTCAAAAGCTTGGCCAAACACTAATTACTGCTCAAAAGTGCTTTTCAAATGAATTAGCCAAACACAAACTACTTCTCACCAAAAGCACTTTATTAAAAAGTACTTTTGAGAAAAACACTTCTCAAAATAAGCTGATTTTAGAAGCTTGGCCAAACGGGCTATTAATATATTCTGTTTTTAGCTAAATTCTCATTAGACCTGTTAAATGGGTCGACCCGACCCGGACCCGAACTCATTGACTCTTGGCCAGTGGGTCCTTAACCGGGCCGGTCCGGTTCACTTTCTTATAGGGGCGGGTCCGAATTTGACCCATTAATCAAAACATATTGATCCGACACGGACCCGTAACCCGTAATCCCCTAACCCGGGCCCTAATGGGCCAAATCCAATTTAATTTAAGAAAAGTTAAAAACTAATAAATGACAAAAATTTCAAACTTTATACATATATACGAACTTGAAATTACTACATGTCCTTGAAGCCGGTTAGAATAAAAATGAAAGAAAAATCATACTTTATTAACATTAAGACTTGAGAAACATATGGAATTCGACTATTTCTATAACTAATAGTCTAAACCATATGGAATTCGACTATTTCGACATGACGTCTCATAGTGTCTAGTACTATATTCTTTCTTCAATATTTGAATTCAGTTTTTTACCACTTGTCTAAATATATATATGTGTGAGCTGGTCCGGGCCGGTTGACCTGTGGGTCAGCTACCGGTTCCGGTCCGGTCCGGTTCAGTGGGTCAAAATATTATAGCCCGACCCAGGCCCCTTAAATTAATGGTTGGTCCGGTTAGGGTTTCGTGGGTCATGGACCGGTTAAAGGATCAAATTTAGGATTAGTTACCTCCTATAACAAAGGTTGATACCTTATTTATTTTAAATAAATACCCTTTTAAAAAATTATATTCCATAGCTATCTTTTGATTTTTTATAGCCAAATATCTATTTATAGTCACCTCCTCTCCTTAAGCGATAAAATAAGCTTTGTATTATTTTTCTCTCTCCACTCAAATTTCTCCTATCCCCTCAAATTTCTCGTATCCCCCATCCCATATCTATTCTCCCTCCCTCTCTCTCATCTTCCACTTTCATCTTACTACCAGTACTCTCCGGCAAAGCATCAAATCCATCAAGTTGAAGGAAGGGATACGTTTAATATATGCATGTCGAGTGTTTTCAATTAACGGTTCAGTGAGATGTATAATATTTAATTTCATTCACCTCTTCGGTGCTTAGATTTTGATGAGATTTCCACTCCTTTAGAGAAAATGGCTTTACTGATATGCTATCTGCCCATAGATCAATGGTAGTGCTGTTGGCCTAGAAACGGACAGGGGAATTGAGCGAAAATAAACATTAGGGTTCGTTCTTGAACAAAGACGACGGAGTTTGGGGCTGAGCAACTTGAATTTTCTGTTAATATATTTTAATGTATTTCAATGTATCTCGCTGTATTTCCATGTATTTCATTGTATTCATTGTCTTTTTTTCATTGTATTTCAATGTATCTCGTTGTATTCCATGTATTTTATTGTATTCACTGTCTCGTTGTATTCCATGAATATATTCATATATTTTTTTAATTAATATAATTTATGTATTCAGATGTATATATGTATTCAAATTGCTCTGTTTTTGTCGTATTTATCGGCTGGGAAAAATATTCAGCATATTTTCTCTGAAGATTGCTATGTTTTTGGGGTATTTTTTGGTTGAGAATCTTTTTTATAACTGGAAATACAAATTTTGTGTGTTATAATTGAGTTTGTTGAGTTATATTAGGATTCTATTATGTTAATTAATTCACTTTCCGTTTAAAAACAGCTGAATAGACCATGAATTGCGCTATTTACACCGTGAATACAATCGAATACAAAAATCTGTCTAGCTGTAATCCCCTGTTTCACGCCTAGAAATGCTACTGTATTCATGAATACAGTAGCTTAAATACAACGAATACACTCTAAGAAACCTGAAAACATAGCTATAGGAAGTAATATAGTAAATGGTAGCTACAACTAGCTAATAACCACTAAAACATAGTGGTTTCTGAAAGTTTCTCTCAAATGTAATGGGTTGTGTGGGCCGGTTCGTGGGTCGACCCGGCCCATTTGACAGGTCTAATTGTCATTGATTATGAGAAGTTTTAGGTCTTTTTGAGACAACTTTCCTCCGTTACCCAGTATAGTCCCACAAGGTGGGGTCTGGGGAGGGTAATACGTACACAGGCTTTACCCCTACCCGAAAGAGCAGAGAGGCTGTTTCCAATCGACCCTCGGCTCAGGAAAAGGAAAAGGAAAGCAAAAACAAAAAGCAAAAAGCAAAAAGCAAAAGAGCATTAGTAACTCCAGCAGAAATCACATAAATAATTATCTAAACATAAACCATAAATAAAATGGCATGCAAATATATCGACCAGTAACTACCATAAGGGGGCACAATACAATACACAGATCATCTATGGAGAGCCCTACCCCCCCCCCCCAGCCCCGGGACAGAAGTACGAAAAATTCTAGACGCCCCTATCCTGCAATCCTGATACTAGACCTCCAGACTTTCCTATCCAGGGCCATGTCCTCGGAAATCCGCATTCTAACCATGTCCTGCCTAATCACCTCTCCCCAATACCTCTTGGGCCTCCCTCTGCCTCGACTCGCGCCAACCACCGCCAGCCGCTCACAACTCCTCACCGGGGCATCGGGGCTTCTCCTCCGCACATGCCCGTACCACCTGAGCCTCGCTTCCTGCATTCTTCTGCATCTACTGGGACACCCCCACCTTCTCCCGAATAACTTCATTCTAATCCTATCTAACCTGGTGAGCCCGCACATCCACCTGAGCATCCTCATCTCCGCAACCTTCATTCTCTGGACATAGGGTGAGTCTTTACCGGCCAGCACTCAGCCCATACAACATGGCAGGTCTAACCACAACTCTATAAAACTTCCCTTGATTTCTGTGGCACTTTCTTGTCACACAAGACTCCGATGAGAAGCCTCCATTTCGACCACCCCGCCCCTATACGGTGCGTGACATCCCCGTCGATCTCCCGTCCCCCTGAATCACCGACCAGAGATATCTGAAACTGTCCCTCTTGGCGATGACCTGAGATCCAAGCTTGACGTCCCTGCCTACTTCGCTCGGCTCGGCGCTAAACTTGCACTCCAGGTACTCTGTCTTAGCCCTGCTTAGTTTGAAACCCTTGGACTCGATAGTCTGCCTCCAGACCTCAACCTCTCGTACACCAACCCTCTCTCGTCTATTAGGACTATGTCATCAGCAAAAAGCATACACCATGGCACATCCCTTGAATATGGCGTGTATAGCATCCATCACCAAAGCAAATAAGAGAGGGCTAAGTGCAGATCCTTGATGAAGCCATTACCACCGGAAAATGGTCTGAGTCGCCACCAACCATCCTAACCCTAGTCTTAGCTCCATCGTACATGTCCTTGATTCACTCTGATGTAGGCTTCCGCACGCTCTTCGCCTCCAGACACCTCCATAGCACCTCCCTTGGACCTTGTCGTACGCCTTCTCCCAAGTCGATAAACACCATGTGCAGGTCCTTCTTCTTATCCCTGAAGTGTTCCACCAATCTCCTGACAAGGTGGATAGCTTCTGTAGTGGAGCGGCCCGGCATGAAACTAAACTGGTTCACGGATATAGACGTCATCTCCCTCACCCTCGCCTCAACCACCCGCTCCCAGACTTTCATGGTGTGGCTTAGTAATTTGATACCCCTATAGTTGTTACAACACTGGATATCCCCTTTGTTCTTATACACGGGCACCACCGTACTCCACCTCCACTCCTCCGGCATCCTCTTAGTCCTCAAGATCACATTGAACAACCTGGACAACCACTCTACCCCTGGCCTACCTATGCATTTCCAGAACTCCACCGGGATTTCGTCTGGCCCGGTCGCTCGACCCCTACTCATCCTATGCAAAGCCCCCACGACCTCCTCCACCCTAATGCGCCTGCAGTACCCAAGGTCTCTATGACACTCTGAATTCCCCAACTCCCCTAGCTCTACGACTCGATCCCCCTCCTCGTTAAGCAGGTCTCGAAAGTACGCCTGCCACCTCTGCTTGACTTGAGACTCCCCCATCAGAACTCTACCATTCTCGTCCTTGATGCACCTAACTTGGTCTAGATCCCGCGCCTTCCTCTCCCTCACTTTAGCCAACCTGAATAACTTCCTGTCCCCGCCTTTCTCCCCCAATTCCTCGTACATGCGACCAAACGCCGCATTTTTTGCTTCCGTGACCGCCAGCTTCGCTTCCTTCCTCGCCACCTTGTAGTTCTCCCTGTTGACTCTCCTTTCTTCCTCGCTTGAGCTCCCTGCCAACTTAGAAAATGCCGCCTTCTTCGCCTCCACTCTTCCTTGGACTACATCGTTCCACCACCAGTCACCTTGATGTCTGCCTGAATAGCCCTTGGCTACCCCGAGCACATCCCGTGCTGCCTCCCTAACCAAGTTCGCCGTCACTGACCACATTGCGTCCGCTTCCCCAGAACTTCTCCAAGCTCCACCATCAGCTAACCTCCTCTCCAACTCCTGGGCTTTCTCCTTAGTCAAAGATCCCCATCTAATCCGCGGCCTGCCCCGAGCACCCCTCCTCTTCCTCTTCACCTAGAGACCGACATCTATCACTAGGAGTCTATGAAGAGTCGAAAGGGACTCTCCCGGGATAACCTTACAGTCCTTGCACAACCCTCTATCGCTCCTTCTGAGGAGGAGGTAATCAATCTGAGTCCTCGCCGCCGAAATTTTGAAAGTAACCAAATGCTCCTCCCTCTTCTGAAATGACGAGTTCGCAATCAAAAGCTCGAAAGCCCTGGCGAAATCAAGCAGCAAAGTGCCTCCTCCGTTCCTAACCCCAAGGCCAAAGCCACCATGCACCTCACCATAACCACCAGCATCAGCCCCAATATGACCATTAAAATCCCCTCCAATAACTAACTTCTCAGATTGGGGAATACTACTCACCAACTCGTCCAAGCCCTCCCAAAGGCGCCTCTTAACCTCCTCGTCTAGGCCTGCTTGCGGCGCGTAAGCGCTGATGACATTGAGGACCCAACCACCAATAACCAAATTAATAGACATTAACCTATCGTTCACTCGCCTAACCTCCACCATGGACTCCCTAAGATCCCTATCCACCAAGATACCCACTCCATTCTTACCCCTCACGACCCCAGAATACCACAGCTTATACCCGTCTACATTCCTCGCCTTCGACCCTTTCCACCTAGTCTCCTGCACACAAGCTATGCTGACTCTCCTTTTCTGAAGAATCTTCGCCAACTCAATGGACTTACCCGTCAGGGTGCCTATGTTCCACGACCCGATCCTCAATCTATGAGCGCCCGCTATCCCCTTCCCACCCTTGCCTCCCGCCCCACCCACAGAGCCGCTCCCTGCCCCCCTGCTCACCCCCACTTAAGATTTCATTTAACCAGTTGATTATAAAAATTGAGAGATATTTACCCAAATTTACTTTCAATTGAAGTCGCTTTGTGCATTAGGGGTGACCTATGTGGTTTGAAAAGTAAATCTATGGTCAAAAATACAGACCTGGCACTTAAGATTTCATTTTTGGCTAAGCAATTAATCATTGCTTATCTAAACCATGACAATTAAGTCATTAAGCTAAGCAAAAGGAGCTAGCCTGGCTAAATTAGATATAATGTGTATCTGTAGTATGTATGAAGTATAATAGTTTGATATCATCTTAGCATTAATTGGGTTACTGATCATCTGCGCCTCATTAAGGTTGCTTTATCTAAATAAAGATAGTAAACCAGTTGATTATAAAATTTGAGAGATATTTACCCAAATTTACTTTCAATTGAAGTCGCTTTGTGCATTAGGGGTGACCTATGTGGTTTGAAAAGTAAATCTATGGTCAAATTGATCACAAGTGTTCAGCTCGTGACGGATTCAAGATTTGAACTTTATGGATTTAGGATATATTGGTCATTTTGAGTTACTGAATTCGAAAGTTAATATTTATACGTATGTAATAAATTCTTAATATATATTTAAGGTCTGAGTCAAAAATTGTATTCGATTGAACTTGTAGCTTTAATTGTACATCCACCCCCTACAAGTCATCCTCTTTAAATAAACATGAACAACAAAATAGGAATATGTTTAAGGAAAATTTATATTTGAAAAATTATGAAGTAGAAATATAAAAGTCACATCTTAAATAACAATATGTAGTTACTGACAATATTCTTGACTGACAATTGAAAATTATAATTGTACTTTTCTAATATAATCAATTTAGTGTTGACCAACTAATAAGTCACATCTTGTAGTTACATGTAATTGCACTTATTTTCAATCTTCATGTGACTAATCCAAAACGTTGGTTTTTCTAGAAGAAATGTGACATCTTTGAAGACGGCGGAGAGGGCTGTGACATTATAGATTTGACTTCTTATCATATTAATGATTGAGTTGAATTATTAAAAGGAGAGTAGTGTGATAAAAAGACTTTTTTCTCATATTTTATTTTACTTTTGATTTATAAGGTCTTTGAGTTTCTATTAGCTAAAGTTACTAAACTACCCTTCGTTAAATCTTGCATCATAGTTATAGTAGTACTTACTTCTCTTCTCAAATGTAAGGAGTAAATAAATTTTTAGGGATATGTACATAAGGGTAATTTTGGAAAAACAAATTGAATTTTTTCTTGATTATATAAACAGACACTTATTTTTTGACCAAAATAAAAAAGCAAATTGGTCATTTATTGTGGACCGGAGGGAGTATAATTTTGTCCATCAAAATAAGGCAAATAAAAAAGGACATTTAGTATTTATTTTTTTCTCTATCTTTGCACCCTCTCTACTGACCATTAGGCAACAACTTTAAAGGCAAAGCCTTATTACACTAAATTACACGATACTCCATCCGATCTATTTTAATTAATTTTTTGGTTGTTCCCACACATATTAAGAAATTCATCGTTTAGCATTAATTAACAATAAAATTGACCATTTTAAACTTTATTATCTCTTTAATTTGTTCATTGAAAATATAATAAATACTCCAATACTCTTTACTCCAAGGACAACTTTAAAAAAGAAATAAGTTAATTTCTTTTAAATTCATATATTGAGGACCACAAAAAAGGACTAAAAAATCAACTAAAGTGAATCGGATGGAGTGGCTCGATAACAAGCGAGTTTGCTTCCTCAGCCAAATTTATGTAAACAACTACTTTTTGTGAACTCCACCTAGTTTCATCACAATATTTGGCTTTTAAACCTGTCATGAACCTCGCCTCTGATACCACTTGTTTGGACCGGAAAAATCAGGTATCATGCGGAAGCTAGTAACGTAAACCTTGAACGACGATAAATCATACAACAAAGAGAAAATATACCAAAAGAGACACAAATATAGAATATGGTTCGGTCAACTAACCTACGTCCACGACGGAGATGAGCAATCCACTATAATAAAAGAGAGTACAAAATATCGAGAGAACAACCTCACGAAGAGGCAAACACAAGTGACACATTAACACTTGTCCCGTAAAGTTCTCGCCCTAAACACGACTCTCAAACCCCTTATGGCTACATTATGTGTAACACCCCGTACATTCGGACTAGGTGTGGATATGTTAAATGGGTATTAATTTGATATTTTAGACATATGAAGTCCTAGAGGGATGATTATTGGTGAAAATAGTTGTTTCAGAATCAAGATGGAGAGTGAGGTGCATAAGATTCAACAAAATCGACTAAGTTTACAAAATGTCCGTCTTCCAGTAGCAGTTAGTGAAAATGTGTAAGGAATTTGAGAAAACTCAAAATATGAAAGGTGTACGCCTTTGAAATAGCTTTTCAACGATATATTATGCAGCCCGAACGGATCTCTGTTCAAAAAATTATGTGCGTTTTACAGAATAGTGCGCAATCCCGTGCGCGCTCTGAGCGCGGCCGTGCACCTGTGGCAGTGTTACTACCATTTTGCGCGGTCAGGTGCACGGTCAGGCCTACAGGTGCATGGGGGCGCACTTGGGGGGTTATTTTAAAGCCCTACTTCGTCCCCCACACCCCCAAAACACAAAAACTTGCTCTAGAAAGGGGAGCTCTAAAAAACCTAACTCCTTAAGGGTCCCTCCACCACCCAAGGTAAGTTCTAATGGTGATTCTAAGTTAATTTCAATTTTTCAACATCTTATTAATATGGGTAAACCCTCCATATCATTAGATATTCGATTGGGACATCATTGTTGAGAGAAAGAACCCTAGAACTCGAATTCAAGAGGAGTGAACTTCAAAAAGGTAATGTCTTCACCCTCTAATTGATTATACCATTGGATTTATAACGATTATTGACTCCAGTTCATGAGATATGAGTTGATGGGTTGATAGAAAAGCATGAACTGTTGTGGGTTTGGGGTGTTGATTGTTGATTATTGGTTAATGGTGTTGTTTACCTTATGGGTGATAAAGAATTATGTTGATTATAACCATTTGAGACTTTAGAATTTATCTAGGAGCAAGAGAATGGGTGATTGGGTGTAAAGACACCATTAATGAGGGCTACGAAGCTTTATACTCACCAAGTATTTGATAAAATGCCTAAGGGACCAAAACATGAGTATTATTGCTAATATGGAATCCCTTTGACTTGTATTGATATAGATTAAAGTTGAAAGGGTTGGAGAATGTTGTATTACGCTCAAGAGCAGGAAGTTAAGGTATGTGAGGCTAACTCTATATGTTTGGAAATGTTAATGATTCTCCCTGCACTATGTTTCTTTTACCACGTTAGTAATTGCCTCAGAAATATAGTTTAGCCTAGTTCCTTGAATAGTTGTAGAACTTCTATTTTCTAGCTTCATAACTCGTTCATGACTTTTATTTTGAACGTTGTGAGCTCAGTGCGTATTCAATATAGAATTGGGTTTGATTCCCCCGAGTCTTAGTATAAGTTACTCAGTATGCCATAAACAGTTGAAGTATCAGTATTCATAATCAGTTCAAGAATACATGTCACAGTCTAGTCCTATTCAGTATTCCGGGCCTTGCATCTCACGATGCAGGTAATGATTTGCAGGTTGACGATTCAGAGCGCTAGTATTCTCGTACCAGCTATTTGGTGATCCCTAGTTCTTTCGGGGCATTATGCTTACCTACAGTCTTCAGTATTTTCAGACAGTTAGTGTTTTCAGTACTTCATTAGAGGCTTCATAGACTAGAGTAACAGTTAGACAGAGTCTCAGGCTTTTCATGTTAAGCTATGTTGGCTGCAAATATATTTCAGAATTGTATTAGTACTTCCGCACTTTGCTTTATATCATCCAGACTTTTAGTATATCAGCATGTGTTAGTTTATCTTCCGCATTCAGTATGTTATGATATCACATGTTGATTCAGCCAGCCAGTTGGTTCGCTCGGTCACATGTAGTCAGGCATCGAGTGTCGTATTACGTCTAGGCGCAGGTTCGGGGCGTGACATTGTGGATGCTACTGACTGAGAAGAACGGATCTTCAATTTATAGAACTCCACGCCTTTTCCTACAAAAAAAAGGGACTAGCCAAATATGGAAGAATTATATTTTTCTTATAGGAAAAGGAAAAATCCAATTATGGTAAACATATTGTCCTTACCTTTATGAAATAGGAAAACCAATTATGGTTAGAAAATCTGAACAAACACCTAGCAGTTTTCTCCAAAGGAAGATTGTTTAGGCTCCCTAGGTTTGGTCCAAATGTAAAACTCCAATAACTATAATTATTGTGCCTCAATTCTAAATTAATTTGGATAATTATAATACCTTTTTTCTGATTATTGTGCCTCAATTCTAAATTAATTTGGATAATTATAATACCTTTTTTCTGAATATTCATTTCATATTTATTTTGCAGCGGTTTTGTTTTCGGTATCTCTTTGTTCTGCATTATTTTATATCAGCGAAATGTACCATTTTCCTTCATAAAATTGGACAAGTCTATATATAAATATAAAGTAGGGAAATAAGCCTGCCTACGTGTCACCTCTCATTGCCCCTAAGAATCTCAATTATCTCCATTCTCTTTTTTTTTTCCAGATTTTTCCTTTTAAGTGCTCTATCAAAAATTCTAAAGTTACCTTTTATAATAATAATCCTAATAATTGTGGCTCTTCCTATATATAATTACTTTCACACATCGCTTCACTTCCTCTTCCGTTACAACACCTCCTTCAACCGTTTCTTCCTCTTCTTCCGCCAGTTAAATACCCATCTCTCCCTTCGTTCTCTCCATCGGCCAACGTAAATCTCCTCTAGATTTCAATTGCTTGATTCTTCATCTATTTTTATGTATTTATGCAGATATTTAAATTAATTACGTATGTTGTAAATTTTGAGCAAATTGATTCCGACCTTTTGTATCTGCCTAGAGTGCATTTGTATTGTATTGATTAGCTTTGCTTTGTTTGTTAGTGTTTATAGGCTGGGTTCAAATAATGGTGCTCTGGAAGAACCAAACTTAATTCTTTTGTATAATCTATAATGAGATATGCTCAAGTGAGAACAAACAGGCTTTTGAAGGTGCCGGGAGTTTCAAGTGATGAAGGCAATAAAAATTGATGAATTGATATTGTGACT